CAAGTGCAAATTTTGAGCCTCGAGAGAGACTTAAAAGCCGCCCGTTTGACTGCTGCAGAAACTCAAGCAGAGGTGGAAAATCTACGAGGCCTAGTGGCCATTGAGTGTGAGGAAAAAGTACGACTGTCGGCAATGAAGTCCACCGTGGAATCGGAAGACAACGCTCGCGAGTATTCGGAGCTCAAAGCAGTCGCTTTGGAGCTGAAGTCGCGGCTACTTAAACGCGCCGAGTAAGTTGCTTTAATCGTGTCGATCACTGCAAGTCCCGAATTTGAATTAGCTCAACTTGGCTTCACCTTGGAAATAACTACTCAAACACGCTGTTAGTTGGTTAGTACCATAATTCATTGGTTCAGGCATGATGCCTACCAGGTTTAAACACCCCAGCAACGTATGTATTGGATTTGTTTACATATAAATGCGTTTTTTATACGCGAAGGCTTCTGGAAAATTCCCTAAGAGAGGCGAGACGGCTGCGTGGAATTGTCTGTGATAACAAGGAGAGTGCCGAAGGATTTGGCGGAGAACTGGAACGCCAATACCCGCACGTAGGTTGTGGATTCTAGTTGCAGTTGTGATACGTGTGACTTGAGGCTTCTTTTCAACTCACACTCTTCAAGTTGTAATTTCTTCAAATTCTCTGAAATGTTGACGGCGTTTTTGATTAATTGGGCGAATAGGAACACCAATTTAAGTGACCTCAAGATGTTAATTCTGTGGATTATTTCAAAATGGCTGTTGTGGTTGCTTAGTCCTAGCAAATCCCTACATTTTGTCTTCGTGTGAGTATGTGAACCGAATTAGCTGTATACCTTGCTTGTGTACATACATTGTCCTTAGTTCTGATTCACAAGAATCACGATGAAAAGTCTTCCAATTGACTCCAGCTCTATGCGAACACAGTCCTTCCGTGATTAAGGCAGACAACAACTCTTGCAGTGGTGGCGATGACGCTGCGCCCTCGTGTACCCAGGCTCTCGGGGCCAAGCTGTGCGCTGCCCCGGCCGCCGCCTCGCTACCGCCCTCGTCCATTTTCTCCCAACGTGACCGTCGGTCCTGCATTCCAAACCAGCCAACATTTGTAACCTTTCGTACC